TGTCCTTCTTTCTCCGTGGCCCGGGCCCCAGTTCTAAACCAGCTGGAGGAGTTGCTGAGCGACATGAAGGCGGACGTGACCCGCCTGCCAGCCACGCTGTCCCGAATACCCCCCATCGCAGCCCGCCTTCAGATGTCCGAGCGCAGCATCCTCAGCCGGCTGGCCAGCAAGGGCACGGAGCCTCACCCCACACCGGTAACCCTCTTTCTCCCTAACTCATTTTCCCTGTTGTTGCTACTCCTGCACGCACACATTCACTTCTATCAGAATCCTATACCATATGGAAAAACAACTTGCAAGACCACAGTCTTCACCCTTGAGTGAATCTCCCTTGCCTGGGTCATACCCCTCAGCAGTTCTGAAGTGTGGCTCATGTTCCTGTACAGCTTCTGTCCTCAGACTGTGAACTGACTAACCAACCTCAGCTCACTCTTTATTCCAGGCATTCCCCCCAGGTCCCTACGCCACACCTCCGGGGTACGGGGCGGCCTTCAGCGCCACACCCGTAGGGGCTCTGGCCGCCGCAGGCGCCAATTACAGCCAGATGCCTGCCGGGTCCTTCATCACAGGTCAGCTGGTAGTTTCCAACTCCCTGCTTCTCTCTTTCTTCCTTGGCTAAGCTTCACTCCTGCTCAGCACCCTTGCCCTATTCCAGCTCATCTCATTTCTGTGGAAGTAACCTGTGTTTTAGGGAATAGAGTTGTTTGAGGCTTTGTACTACTCATCCTTTCTGGTTCCCTTGTCTGTCCTCATGGTCAGAAACCTCACCAGGGTTTCAGTGGTTCTGTGGCTTGGTATTTCCCACTTTGCCTTCTCTACCTGAGGGACCTCAAGGGAAAGTGAATATGAATTCAGAAGGGGTAGAATGAGGGTTGGAACCTGAGGTTAAATCGTGTGATACAAGGGAAATCTCAGGAAGAGGTCTTCTCACCCTTACCCAGGAAAACTGGAAGTGACCTAGAAGTGAGGATTATGTTGTTGTCATGGGGTGTGATATTTGGCGCTGTGTAGGGATTGACCTTTCCTTACCCCCTTCCCAAACAGCCACCAACGGCCCTCCAGTGCTGGTGAAGAAGGAGAAGGAAATGGTGGGGGCATTGGTGTCAGACGGGCTGGATCGGAAGGAGCCCCGAACCGGGGAGGTGATCTGTATAGACGACTGACTGGATCCCAGGCCTGCCCTTCACCCAGGCCCCGTCCCCGGAGCCGACCCCATGCTCAGGCCTTGGGGCCTGCTGCCAACCTTCCGCCTTCCCCATCCACTGGGTCACCGCTGGGCTAAGAGCCCCTTTGCCCCTTTATAAATCCTCTCTCCAAGAAAGGGCCCCTTGACCTTCTCCACTTCCAGGTACCTTTCCCGCCAAGCTTTGAAAACTGTGCTGGTGTGAAGAGGTCTGGGTGGGAGATGGTTAGCAGAGTCTTCTAAGTACCTTTATCCCCCACCGCCAAATATACAGTTTCCTAATAAATGATTCTGGGGAGGAAAGAGGTGGAGCCTCCAGTCTCTTTTCCTGCAATATCAGCTCCACCTCTTGCAGAGATGGGGGTCTTGCCTGGCCTTTAGGAGTTTTTCTGGGGAGAAGAGCTTCAAAGAGAGGAAGGGCACTTTTAGAGAGGAATGAAAATGAGACCCAGGAGGGAGAAGGGAAGAGGATGGGTGGCTGCATGTTACCTCCCTGCCTCGCCCCAAATGGAGGGTGGAACAGTTACAAGGGAGGAAGTCAGTTACTGTTCGACTTCAGAATAAAGGCATCACTCACTGGCTCAGTTACCTCCTGTGTACTGGCATCTTGTATTGGGAAGTATCTCTCCCTTTCTAGGGACCAAGGACTACCCCCACAGAGTAATGGTTGGGTGAAAACTCCCTCAAGCCAAAGAGGAGCTCCCCAACCTGTTCTAGGATCCCAGATAGCCTAGAAAGGGTGGGAGAGAATACAACAGGCCAAACATGGGGGCAGCCCCCCACCTCCCCACTCTGGGGCTCAGGTTCATTGGGGACTTCTACCCTCCCTTCTAAGGCCTAGGTACAGACTTTAGTGTGAGTGGGTCAGGCCAGGAGCCTAGTCAGGGGACGGCCTTGTTTGTGGGACCAGAACAACATAGTGAAGGGCAGGAGGGGGTGTAGATACACACCCTTTCCAAGGAAGGGGGGACAGGGAGTGGTAGTTTGCATGGCAAACCCCCCACTTGCTCTGCTGCCCCTTCACTTTCTTGCTGCCCCTTTCCCAGTCTCTCCACACCCACTCCTGATCTGTCCCAATCCCCTCTTCTGTATCAGGTTTATTGGTTGTACATATAAATTATACTTTCCTTTCTGTGTGCTGTTATTTTTGGCTGGGGAAATTTCTTGTGGGGAGGAGGGATGAGAAAGATGATTGCTTTCTGCCATCTCATCTTTATCCATCTCTCTCTGTATCTCTTAACCTTGTGACTTTTCCTTTCCTCATTTTGATCTCAAGTCATTCATTAAAATTAAAACTCTTTTCCCAATGCCAGCCAATGATAAGCTCAGAGTAAAGATGGAGGATAAGCAGCAGGAACCTGAAGGCAGTGGTGGGGTGCAGAGGGAATTGGGCTTCCTGGACAAGAGTGCAGCAGGAATACGTGGCATATTTCAAAACTGCCTTCTAGTTGTACTTTTGACCATCCTTTCTACCTCATGTTACTAGTTTCTGTAAGAGTCAGTAGAGGTCACTGTAGCTCCAGAGGTTCAACTCCAGTATGAAACAGGAGAGGCGCCAGGTCTTTGTTTTTGTGGTGGTGGTTGGTTTTGTTTTTAGAGGTGGCTGGGGGAGGGAGACAGACCTGCATAGTTTGCCAAAGGTCTGCTAGGCAGTTCACTGTCCTGTATTATTCACCACAGGAACCCCTGAGGTTGAGGTGAGGCCACATACTATTCTTGTGACTATTACATTAAAAAATCAGAGGTAGCTGGGTGCTAGTGGCTCATGCATGTAATCAATCCTAGCAACTCAGGAGGCAGAGATGTGAGGATCACAGTTGGACGCCAACCCGGGCAGAAAAGTCACCAATTAATGACTCAAAAACGGGAAGTGGCCCTGTGGCTCAAGTAGTAGAGCACTAGTCTTCAACACAAAGAGGCTCAGGGTCAGCACCCAGGCCCTGAGTTCAAGCCCCACAACCAACCAAAAAAGAAAAATCAGAGATAAGTACAACAAACATTTATTGAGTATGTACTATATGTACATTAACACTGCTGCTGACTTTGGAGATAATCCCATAAAATTTATACTCTGGAGAACACATCAAACATGAAATACAAAATAGAGTAAGGCTTTATGTTACAGAGAGAGTGGAGAAGCTCCCCAAAAGAAGGAATATTTAACTTACAACTTAAGGCTAGGGGAAAATGCCAAAATATATTTTAAGAGGGACAGTAAAACACCATAAATGGACACATTCAAGAAGTCAATTTTAAAAAATTAATTAAAAAAAACAGCAAGCTTTAAAAAATATTGAGATCTATACTTAAGTTCACCTTTTTTTTCCTTTTTTTTTTTTTGCTAGTCCTGGGGCTTGAACTCAGGGCTTGGGCACTGTCCCTGAGCTTCTTTTGCTCAAGGCTAGCACTCTACCACTTGAGTCACAGCACCACTTCCAGCTTTTTCTGTTTATGTGATATTAAGGAATCAAACCCAGGGTTTCATGCATACTAGGCAAGCACTCTTATCTCTAAGCCTCACTCCCAGTCTCTAAGTTCACATTTTTAACTCAGAAAAATGGATGTTTTCTTCAACAGTAGAATGTTTTCTTAGACATTCACTTCAGAACACTCACAGGTAGTGACATTCTAAAATGTCTAGGATTTAGACCAATATTTTTTTCTTTGGTCAGTCATGGGCCTGACTCTGGGCCTGAGTGCCGTCCCTCAGCTCTTCAAATCAAGACTAGCTCTCTACCACTTGAGCCATAGCGCCATTTCTGGCTTCTTCTGCTATGTGGTGCTGAGGAATCGAACCCAGGGTCTCATGCCTGCAAAGCAAGCACTCTACCACTGAGCCACCTTCCCAGCCCCTAGACCAATGCTTTTTATGTACACATCTATCACCTGGGATTGTGAAACGAGTTTGGTTCAGTAAATTTGGAGTCAAATCCTGAGATTCTGTACTCCCAACAAATTGTGTCACTCCCAGGTGACATAAACCCTATTGGTCCCTGACAATGGTTATAGTTACAAGACTTTAAAATAGAATTCAACAAATGATGTCCCATTATGGGACACAAGTTTAAAGTTATTTGAGCACGTTTTTCTCCAGTAGTCCCCGGGTGCCCCTGTGACTAATAATAACAAAAAAAGTTAGATTTTGATGTCTTTACCAAATGGCTCTCATCCTTGATAAGCCCCAAGTGCCTCAAATAAATGTCCTAAGTTGAGACTATATATAAAGTAAGGCTCTTAAAGACAAGGAGGCATCTCTTAAGTTCTGGAACACAGAACTGGCAGTGAGCAGACAGTAGGCTTATGAACTAACTTTCTTACATGCCAGAGAAGAAATTATTGTGACTTGAAAATCAGTCTATTTTCTCCTGCTTCGTCTTTCCAAAAAAAAAAAAAAAATCCAATCACTGACAACTGCTAAAATGGGATCTGTTGTTCCCATACACCACAGTCCCTTTGGACAAAAAGTCAAAGCCACAGCTAAGAAAAAGTCTGCCCGTCTCCTCCCCCCCCACACACCCTCCATAACTTGGACTTTGTTGATATCCCCAGTCCATTCTGAAAATGTAATGAAGTCAGAGAGAGGATGAAGGTGAGTTCTGTCTGGACCTTCCCCATCTCAGACTCAGCATCTCCTGCTGGGTGGAGGGGGTGAAGCGGGCACTCTCTCCAGCCCTGGGTTCTACTCCCTCATCCTCATCGTCTGCCAACCCTCCAAGACCTAGGAGGGTAGTGTTGCCTTGGCCCCTTGTACTAAAACCACGCCAAACCATGCGGCTTCCATCTTCTTCCTTCCGCCACAGCTCGCAGGTTCCCTCGGTTACAGCGTGCACCCGGTCATGTGGGCAATGTCTTTGATCTCTGGGCAGTACAGCACTGGGGAAAAGAAGAAGGGTTAGTGGCCGCGGGAGGAGGCCGCTCAAGTCCAGCGGCCCACCCCGAGGCCCCCTCCTCACCGTTGCTAGGCAGCGGACGCCGCCCAGTGCGCGAGGGCGCCAGGACCCGGCCCCAGAGCCTCCGCAGCGCGCGCCACCCCGCGCCTCGCGGCCCCGCCCCCTCTTCGCACTCCTCCTCCTCCTCCTCCTCCACGCCGTCGGCCTCGCCATCCGCGTCGCCGCTCTCCTTGGCCGGGTTCGCCGCCTCACCATCTCGTTCGCGCTCGGCTCGTGCTTTTTCCTCCAGCCGGGACCACAAGGCCGAGTCGAGAGCCACCTCCGCGACGCCGCCACGCGGAAGCGGGGTGGGCGCGCGGCAGAAGGGGCACG